AAGAATAAAAAATTCACATTACTGTTTAAAAATAGAAAGACAATAGTACTAGGAAACTTGATGAATTGGACTGAGAAATGTGTTGACATTATTGACTCCTACGTAGCCTTTTGGTTATATCTTTATATAGAGAATAGAAAAACCTTGGGACATTGGCTTTATTCTTATATTATCAGGAAACATCACACTTGTTACACCTGCCCTCAAAATAACAATGTCAGATGTTATAAAAGGAGAACAATATAATAATGTAAATTGAATGATCATGTACAAAACCTTCAAAAATACCGAAAGATTTGAAACTTTAAGATTCAAAACCAAGTGTAAATGTCAAATAATTTAAAACTTATGATTGATACCATAGATTTCTGAAAAAATGTTTTATACTTGAGTTTGCATGAAAGCAAGTGACTAACATAGAATGATATCTCACATTATTTAAAGACCAATTTTCTTTATGGTGTTGACAAGAGTGATTTAACTATATTCACCAAACTATCTCAGAATAAAACATGCAATTTGGGAACAGGAAAAATAGGTAAATTTGATGGCATAGTCTGCTAAAGGATTACATTAGAATCTAGTAATGTAAAATATTTTTCTTAGAAATTACATTCCTTTTCCTCAGCATAAGATAGCATTTGCAAATTGTGCATCATAATTCTGTTTTCTTTCTGATTTTGTTATTTCTGCAGGAATGCTGAATCCCCATTGCTATCTATACTATGTACTTATACCAAGAGTTTTTCAAAAGTTTTTATAATTTCATAATATCCATTGTTTAGGTTATTAAGAACCTAGCAGTGAAGAAATATTCAAAATTTCTCCTAAAGACTGATTTAGAAATGGTTTGGTTTGCATAGAATTTTTAATTCATTTTATCTTCAGATATGTTTACAGAGTAAATAGAGTATAATCTCTATACCAAAATAAAACCCTTGTTAGTTGCCAAAAAAAAGTCTTCGAAATGATTGTTTAGAAGTAGCAATATTTACTGTAACAAGACCAAAGCTTGATTATAAATTTAAACTGACTTTTCTCCTCTTTGATCATTCTTGGTAAGGTTGTATCTGTTTTGCTTTTTCTTTTCAATAGTCAAGCATTTATCCTATTGCAATGCTTAATCTGGTTTATTTCCTTAGATTCAGTTCTTGTCTTCAGTATGTTTTCCGGGATTTCTTGAGAGTTTGGTTTGTTTTTATTTTCTGTGACCCAGAAGATCACTGTAAGATTGTTCGCTCTGTCACACTTGTCCCTGAAGAAACAGAAAGCTAAAAACTTTACCCCTTGACTTACTTCTCATTTCTTTTACTCTGATTTTTTCAGTTAACATTGGCATGGAAATTATCAAGAACCTTTCGAGCAAGAACAGAGAGGAGGAGACCATGCAGCTGGCCCTGAATGCCAGCGCCTATGAAGAGGAGACAATTACAGATCACTACGTCATGCTCAATACCCTCGGCAAAGGGGCCTTTGGTGAGGTCAAGCTCGCTTGCCACCGCCTCACAAATATGAAAGTCGCGGTTAAAATCCTTGCGAATGGTGAGGGGAGTGACTTCAATAACAGGGAAGAACTCAACATCATGAAAGAGCTGGACCACCCGTACATAATAAAGCTCTTCCACATCATCGACAGCAGAGACCACACCTACATGGTGTTGGAGTTTGCTGCTCACGGTGATCTAGTCACGCACATTGAGCGGGGTGGCCCTCTTCAGCAGAAACAGGCCCAACACATCTTCTGCCAGATGGCATGTGCAGTGCACTACTGCCACGATAATGGCATTGCCCACAGGGACATCAAGCTAGATAACATCCTGCTTGATGGCAAAGGAAACATCAAACTGTGTGACTTTGGCCTGGCCATCAGAGTCAGCTCTGGGGAGAAGTGCAAGGGATTCTGTGGCACTGTTGAATATGGTGCTCCAGAGCTATTCGGTGACACGGAGTATGATGCAAGGGCAGCTGACAACTGGAGCATGGCAGTGGTTTTATATGTAATGGTGACAGCGAGCTTCCCGTTCAAAGCAAAGACCTATCCAGACATGAAGGAGCTGATGCTGAATCCCATCTACTACATTCCTTACACACTCTGTCAAAACGTTTTGCTTGTGCACCTCATTGTGCACTTGTTCACTGTGAAGCCTGAGCAGAGGCCCATGATTTGTGACATTAGGCAGCACCAGTGGATCAAAGAGAGGGAAGAATTTTGGAAACTCCCATCATCTTCAGAGTCATTCTGTAACAAACCAAATCCCATCATTGTGGGGGAGATGTGGGAAATGGGCTACTTGCCCAAGGCCATTAGTGATAGTCTACGTGAGAAAAAATTCAATAACATCATGGCCACGTACCTAATTTTAAACCACGAGTTACCCCAGGACCACACTAAATCTGTCACTAATTCCTTACATGCCTGTGTGGCTCTGTCATCAGCAGATCTTCTCATGTCCCTTCCTCTTAAGAGGAGAGTGAGTGAGCCTGCCATTCCCACCTTCGC